GCTCATTGCTACAAGAGGTGCAAATAAAATACGTGTACCGTAGAAAATGGCTTTCGTGACTCGTACGATTCAATCACTGCTAAAAATCTTACGTAAGTTGGCAGGATTTCGTTTCACTATCAATCTTGGCACTAACCCATATCTCCCATATATATTTGTTCTGGATTTTAACAAGGTCTTTACGGAAACCACCGCCACCAGAGATTGCCATAACAGCAAAGGGTCACAAGATATCAGCGTTACTACTCTTGGGTGCTATAGGGTGTCGCATCGCACGCGATAGATTATACACTCACTCACGGGTCTTGTCTCAATTATATAAAAGAACATAATTAAAAAATTGCTCATACACTAACATCATCGGTAGCGAATATATCGTATCATGCGCACTGGCTGTAAAATCACGCCATAATCGAAACGACCTAACGATCTTTTTTTGAAAGAGGATATTTTCGAAGACTTACTGCCAGCTAGCTTCAATTACGCCTCGCCAGAGTCTTAAGCTAATTTATCGTTAATGTGAGCGACTAGACTCCCATCAAAGCCTCGGAGGTACTTCGAATCTTTATCTATTAACGTATCCAACGTAGGCCATTGGCAATCACAAACGATGATACATAGTATTTTTTGCATCTAGTGATCGATCGATACTGAATGGGTAAAAAAAATTTCGCTTTTAGTCTTTTTAGAACAGTGACGCAACATGGCGACAACATAATTATCTTCCGGTATCGCGGCGTACAATCCAACTGAACTGCGAAGGTAATGAGTAAATAAGAATTTCTGTTCGCGCATATTTTAACAATGGTTGATTCGAAACATTCTGATAACATTACACTCTAACGCGCCCTATGCTGCAAGTCATGCCAAAAGAAAAAATTTCAACAATCCTTAAAGGGCTACATGTTGGACTTCAGTGAATATTGAGTCGTTTTGACCGGCTGATGACCCTATATCGGAATAGTCCGCTATATTCGAATATCCTGCGGACGAGAGCCACGATTATTACTAATTTCGTCCTCGTTCAGTGAGATCAAACCCTTGTATCCTCTAACTGGACGAGTTAAAAATACGAATTTCATTATAGTCTCGGAGGCGAAGAACGAGGAGATGGCCAACCCTCCAGCAGAAACTGGTTGAAGAAGGGCAGTGTTCACAGCTACCGCATGAGACCTACACCAGATATTACCAATTCACCAGCACGAATCGACGCTGCCTCTCGCTTCGCAGACGGACGACAATTATTTCTAACAACGATTAAACATCGACTCCGTCATTTGGAATTTCTTAGTATGTTATCGTACCGTAGAGTAAATTATCTTCGCTATTTCGACGATGTAGTTATCGTGTCGGCGATGTTTTCGTGGGCACGTGCAGACTCTCGCGTTCTATACAGAAGCCTATTGCAGCTTGTTCTCGATTATTGACCCAGTGAATCGAAGCAAACATTTGGATCAAACTAGCCGTGTGCACCTCAATAACGTTACCCTGAGCCAGGCCCTGACGCCCGGCCTCCCTCAGACAACTACAACTTCCATTACCACCGCCGCTGCCGTCACCTTGAGGAACTCCAATCGGGTTCACTATAGTCGACGACAACAACAGCAGCAGCAGCGGCGTTCACGACGAGAGTCTGTCCGTTCGTTCATTCGAAAGTTGCATGCGAACGTAGTAAAAGTTCTTCGTTCTGGATCAGCAAACTGAGACGGCAGACTCAAGAATACGCTACCTTCTCTTGTTTTAGATACTTACATACACACGCACACATAGGCGCAGAGAGATTAAGCAACAGACAGTGCTGGCTGTATGTACTTGACGCTTGGCCCCCGCTCATCTCGTGATAATAATCTTTAATTGTGGCATAATTGTTCCGTTCAATGATAATGACGCTGATGACGACAGTACCCTATAGTGGCGTTCGTTATTCGATAGCAGCTAGATGTTTGAACTGGGCAGATACAGACCCGGCGAAATCGACACGGATACGGTGCTGTAATCAGCCACGAACACGCAAATGACGCCTTGGTGAAGACCGGCCACGAGGTTTAAATGAAACAAGCAAGAGCTTAAAACAGATTCAGTGTACGTTTCGACATCGAGAAGGAATGCTTTTTGCGGACCGTTAAATCCAGCCAGACTTGTTATGTTCCTAAGACTTAGTGCACTTGTTTTGGCTGTTCCCTTCATTCGTCCTGGGCGAAAATGACGTACAACACCGGGGTAGTATCGTAGCTAGCACAAATTAGCGGCAACTGATCACCACCCACAATCGCCGTTCGTATTGGCATGATTTTGCTCGGAAAACGAGCCTAGTTGATGAAAATATTCATTTGTACAATAGATCAAAGTGCTTAAAACGTCTTCAGTTAAGTAAGTAACTTGCCGTTAAGTAGGTCGTCAAGCTGATCAATCTGACTGGCGATAAAACTATTGTCAGTTAAGGTATTTCACTAATAATAAGTTGAACAGAATCGATATCGCGTGCAGATCGTTAAAAAACATAAACGGATAGATACATGATTTGACTGGTGAGTCTGTGTCTCGATTTGGACAATAAATCAGACATTCTGCCCTGATAGATTAGATCGGTTTTGAAACAATTATCAACAGATGCTTAGAAGTTCATTTGCATTTAGTCTTCGGTAACTGAGCTACCGTTTTGTCTTCGATTCGTCTTTCTGTTATGGTAACTCCTAGCTCATTTTTTATTCCTTTCAATAGGTTTTGCCCATCTAAGAGTATGGAGCTGATAGTACATGCGAGTGCACAACAACGATCAAGTTCGCTGCGCGTCGACCTTCTGATCCTATGGAAGGCCCATTAACGTTTCACTTGAAATACGATCGTAAACAGGCCGACGTAACTATACTTGCTCCATAATACAATCTCACTATTACATTACTTATTAAGTTTATCTGTTTAAAACATAATTCAGAAGAGACTTACACGTATTAAAGAACTTGGCCCATATTTTATAGAATGTACGCGTGGGTCTTAGTGGAACTCGAGCCGACCACTGGATCACCGACAAGCTGGAGGCGAATCTGCACATATTATAATGAGAAGACTAAATCTCATTGTTATTTCTGCGGTGTCTTCGATTTGCAACGAAGAGTTTTGCATTGTTTAACAATTAAAAAGTTTACAGGGATGTCATATAGCTCGTGAAGAACGAGTACGAAGCGACGAATCATACACACACCACGTACATATGCTAACGTCAATAGAAAACGTACTGTGTGGGCCCGGTATGCTTCATTTCGTAACTGCAGTTATAGAAACATAGTATACGATTGAGGCGTCTACCTAGTTCTTTTAGCTCGTTTCGCTAAGTATCTCTTAACGGGGATAGCCTTTTATAGCCACTGCTAACGTATGACATTTTGTCACGCGCTAGATTCGCTCCAATCACATGAGAGGTATTTTGTTTTCTCAAAATCGTCGGCGCGCTTTTATGTTGCTCGACTCGCTAGCGGGAAATACGAGGTCGATTTAACCAGTAACCATTCATATACGTCTGACCCCACCGCCTCCCGCCCCCCACCTTCACCTTGTTTCGACAATGAAAAGTAATGAGGCTTCTATAATAGAGGAGAATTTAATCCTGGCAGTGTCGTCGTTGTCGTCGCTGTGGGTTTCAAAAATTAATAACTTTCCCTTCTCATGATCCTCTTTTTCTTTTTTCGCCATATTGCTGGCGTTACGGTACTGTCAAGCGATGACGTAGTCTCCTTTATTGTTACACACATATAGACCAACACGACGGCCACCGCCACCATACGTACGACAAAGATTCACCAAAGGCAGGTGGGAGTGGGAAACGGAGACGTGGTGATGCGGCGGTTAATTAAAATTTCGAGGTGAAGGAAATCGGCGGCAGCTTCCTCGGCCATTGGCACAGGCCTGGCTATAGACGGAGGCCGTATGGAGAAATAAACTTGGAATCTTTTTATCTCTTCCTTTTCCCCTTGACGCATTTGTCTCACTATGAATGCTGAAAGCAGATGGGTGGCGGTCAGCGAGCGCGACCGGTCGAAGAAACTCGGGATAGCGGGACGGAGGTTAACCGAGCGCTGACACACGAGACAGTCATTGTCTTGTGGTGAGGCTTCTGAAGTAAGCGGACATAGACAGTTATAAGCGGGGCGATCACGAGGTTATTTAGCTTTGCCTTTTGATCGAAAATTAATAATATAAGGATGAGACGGTAGGGATCACAAAAAACAGCCCATGTGATACGCTATTTGGAGAACTCTCTCTCGCTTTTCCACTCTCACCATTTTAAATTTGAAACCAACTCCAAAAAGTGTGTTAACGTAACATTTTCATGTAACATGTAATCGTTGCATTTTGCGATATTAGATATATTAAAATTGGTTTAATTTACGGTGGAATATAATAATTCTGAGGAATAGAATAGCGAACGATGTATCGTCCAATGAATTTAGAAAAAACATTGGAAGCACAGAAGATAACACAGGTATGCTTCTTATCTATGTCATCTATCAGTGATGGATTACGTAATGAGTTAATCGAACGAACATCTGGCCAAAAAACGTCATTTCAGTGGCCACCGACCACGATCTTCATAAAATGGTCTAATAAGTATTAAGGTTAATGTTTTCCACAATGAGATATCGAAAGGTATCACGTTAGAGAATCTGACAAAGCCAGACCTACAACTGTGTTTAGACAGATAGATATATATATATACGAAACAAAAAAATAGTGTTTATTATTTACAATGGTTTTAAATATGTTGTAGAATTATATATTCGTGTATGTTAAAGTTAAAAACTGGGCGTCTTTTTTATTGCGAGGCTCTTCTTAAAAAGCATCACATTAGATTTATGTTTTTTAACAATATAGATGAAGCCATTTGATGCGAGATTGAGAAACTGAAAAAGGTAACCCGTATGAAAACCATCTCAACAAGCATCGAGCACAGGCAATACGTGCATGGCAAAAGCCTTATCTCGCGCAAGAAAGACACCTTCGTATACTTACGCTCATTATACTTAGCTTAGTTTATTTAAGGTAATATAAGTTCTGCTCTTGCATTTGTTTATCTTCTTATAAAAATCGTCTTTTTTTTTTTGTTTCTACATATGAAACCGTGAGGTGTAAACTAAGAAAGAACACAAAAAACATCGCTTTAGCATTTTTTCGTCTTTCAAGTCGAAAATCGCTCTTTCCATACACATCGATGGTACCACCCTCAAGTTCGGCGCGAAACTTCTTTTCCTGTTGTCCTTAATTGTTTCCCTCGTCTGTACCATTGTTGCTGTCCGTGTTTTTTTTTGTTGCTTATTAGTTTGTCACCATTGCTTTCGCTTCTGTTATCACGTTATACGCGTTTCTGTATAAATACGCTGCACAATATATCAATATTTTACTAGATTTTCTGTAATCATTATATAATAATTATAATCATCGTATCAGTATCATCATCGGTATGGTAATAATAATCTTTAATTATGTTTATTATCATTACTTGTGACAGCTTTAGGTTTTTAAAGCTTCGCGCGCCCGCCCTTCGCCCGCCGTTTCCGGTGCGTCTTAAGCGCATTTTCGCATTTTTTTTCATTTGCGTATATTTTTCTATTTTCGTCTTTTTTTTTTTTAAAACCGAAAATGTCAGCAAGTGACAAAGTGCCCCAAACGACCAAAGTAATTACGAGAGAGAGGCAAATCAAGTCACTATGTTTCTGTTTCGTTTCGGCGGCCGAGGCACGCACGCGGATTACTGGAATACCATCTGACTCGTTATTTTTTGTTTTTCTTCTAATAAACACCAGGTTGTTCCCTTGGTCATTCCTGGTGGACGCCTAACTTCTGTTGTCCGTTAGAAAGCAGGACCGACCGATGCTGTTTGCCGGGAAAACGAAATCACGCCCTCGGTAAGTTGGGCGGGGAACGTTTTAGCAGCCTTAGATTACTCAATTATCTTAGCCTTAAGGGCCATCATAATTATCAACTTGAAACTAAAGCCTACTGTAGGTTTACGCAGACCTCATTCATTCTTGGGCTGCAATCGTTCCCTGCACCGCCATAGCCAACTATTTCGTGCCTCGTTCAAATTCAAAACATGACTTCATTGTGGTCACTGTTCAAATTTTATCATTGTTTCTACTATAAATATCGCTGATGTACAACCGTCTATTCACCGTGGACACAAAGTTATTACGCAATTATCCTTGAAGTTATTTACGTTGTTGATTCGTATACCATCGTACCCATTATCTTTCATTAGCGTCTACATATTAACGTCACCTCCGGTTTTTGTTAGTTTCCCTTTATGTTCGTGCCATTACTACTATTAACAGTCTTTTATGGTCTGAAATGGGGGTATGGGGCTTTCCTGATCACTAGTGAGATGGTAGGTTTTCTATCTATTCAACGTAGTTAATGAATAAATTGAGGAAAGGACCGATCTTTCGCTATAATTGTTATTGCACTTTTGTTATCTAAATTCTTGTTCGTTTTACAGTTCTTGCAGTGGTTGAAATTTGTTGTCATCGATCTTCGTGCATATTACCATTCGTTCATCCTTCGTCATCTTTGTTAATAAGCTATCTCTATAATAAGTTAGAGACGATATATAGCATTACGATAATGGTTTGTCACTGTTTGTTAGTATCGTTATTTCACTGGGTTCCTTGTTACAGACATCGACCCATATATTTTGCATTGTATTTATGTGGTCATTATATGGCAAACCACAGCATGTTTTGTTTCGAATGGCTAGAAAAATACACGATCCCTTCCTTTTTTTCGTCACCTCCATTTTCTCGTACCCGTTGTCGATCTAAGTATTTCTCAATTTAGTAGCCAGTCAATTGTTCGCACGACGTTATCGGCTTCTTGTTCATGTCAAAACTCCTTCCCGTTGCTGATATCGATAATGTGACCTTTTGTGGTAACCCTTAGTCTCTCGCGGCTCGTTTCGTCACTTCGGTCTTATTTTTATTATATAGTAACGAGCCGACGTTGTCGTTCGCATGCAATGCCTCCTCTACCTCCATATGACAGCTCACTCTATTCGTGCTCTATTTTCCATATATCTATACGATTTCCTTCGCTCTCTCTCGTGCACCACTCTCTCGCGTTCTCTTGATTAAAAGCTTGTTGTCAAGACACGGAACGCGTATATATGGTAGCAATAGTACTAATTGTTGATGTTATAGGGCTGCTATATTATTGTTGTGTTCAGACCCGAGCCGGGCAGACAGTGGCCTGGGCGGGGCCGCGGTGGCAGGTTGGCACTACAGACTTATTATAATAATCAATATTATAATTAGTTTTTTGTTATTATATAATATTTTATTCATCCTCGTCGCTATAGTCGTCTCCTCCGTTACTTGCCTCTTCGAAATGTTCGATGTGACGCAAGCATCTTTGTTCTTCACTGTCTCTTCCGGCGTTTCGTTAAATTTTTCTGTGTATTTACGTTTCTTTTATGATTATGTTCTCTTTGTTTGCTCCCTGTTCGTGTTCCTATATTTCTCTTATATCATCTTTTGTCTTATTTTGCTATTAAGTTCTTAATAGTGGTCGGTCGCGTACTACGCCGCAATTACACCACACATAATAGGCGATGACAACGCAAGTTGCGTCTTCTGAGTCTGCAGCTGCTGCATAGGTAGGGCGTTACACAATGCAAGATGTAAACAGAGTTACGTGGACGCACGTAAACGTTATTACGCCTTTATGTTGCTTTTTGAAAAATCTCTCTTTGCTGTTGTCTGGCTTTTTATTTCATTTAGATTCTTACCATATCCGCACCTTGTCTTTTCCCAGAGCCACACAATTTGATGCCATCTCTTATGAGCGTTCATACCTTTACATAGACTGTAATAATCAATAATAGTCACGCACACGATGATATCATATCATCAGTCAGCACATAGCTGACACCATTATAATATATAATCTTAGATATAGCCATCCTTTTTCGTTATGGTTGTTATTATTATAGAATTATTTAGTTTGTTTTGCATCTTTCTCATATTAATATATCATCATTTTCCATCATTACCGCCGCCATTATTGTTTATCGCCGTTACTTTTTATGTAATACTTGTACATCACATTCGAACTAAACCCAGTATTTTCCACTAGATCCGACAGACTGGAGACTTCAAGCAAGGGTAAGCGCGTTTGTGTATTTGTTTGGGCCCACAGCTGGGTCGCCAATCCTTTGCCAGGCGGCGCTGTAAAGGCAGGCGACGGACGACAGGCCTAAGCTTGTTCTGCTACAAAATAATGAGCGCAGCTATACGCTGAACAGTTACAGAGAGACTACAACCGACGCGGGTCCTGATGATTCCGCCTTCCCCAAATTCCATCGAAAAGGTGATCAGCTATTCCCTGTTGTCTTGTTCACTGACTGTTTCCTATTGATTGGCCTGTTGTTCATGCGCTAAATTTATATCAGTGTTCAGGTTAACCCGAATGTCCTGCTTCTATGCTAACGCGTACATCTGTAAGCACAAAGCCACACACGCAAATGTCCCACATGCACACTAACACACACGCACGCACACATTTATAATACATTCGTATAGTCGTATGTGTCCGTTCATTATAACAGCATTCCTATACAATGTAATGCTGTTCTACCTCGTTGTGGTTTTGTTTCTATACGCTAGACTCATTCCTCGACATCGGTTGACCTGCCGCACCTCGTCGACAGTGCTCCATAGAAGTTACTCCTTAGAAGCTATTACTAGCCCAAAAAACCAACTGTTTCTACCGCTACTACTATCACTAATACGGCTATCAACTATCTTACTACAATCATTGCTACCCATCCATGTACAAGACCCATGTCTGTGTCTTCCCAAAGCAAATTAACACGTCTATCGGTTTCGTTATTCGTACGTTAGCCCGCAACGATGTGCGATCCCTTAATTGTATCTTTCCCGTTTTGGTAGAAGAACAGTGCTGGTACCATATAGTTATATATATTGTTACACCTTTTAGAGGATAGGGAAAAACGGACTAAGCTTCTATGACACCGCGCCGGCGACACCTGGACTCGAAACTGGTTTAACAACCTGGACGAAACGTCGACGGAGACGACTACTCATCTGCCTGAGCCGTCGTAGGCTGCAGAATGCAACTTAGCCGGTGCGCCATCGTCAACAAAAACAACAAAATGTCATTATCAACATTGTCAGCATCATTGTCGTCATCGTCGTGAAAGACGCCGGCTGGCTGGCTGACTGACTAGATCAGGCTTCCGAGCAGTGTCCCTCGTCGCTCGTTATATCCTCGATATCCGATTCATTCTCAATCCTCACCCTGACTCCAACCTATTACTTCACCAGTTGGCCATACCCGGCTTGTTGAGTGTCATGAAGTAGATTTGACATGACGAGCCGCCTTTCGCTGATGAGAAGAATACCTGAACAATGTAAATATATAAATCATAATAGTGCGTTACGACGTTCATGCGAAATTCACTGAGAAGTGTTGTCTTGGCGCAGAAAAGCAGAGACTCAACTAGTTGAATAGTAAAAACACAATGGTTACGAATAGATAGCGGCGGTTCGCCCAAGTGGCGTATAAACAGCAAGATCTCTAAACTACCCGACGGAATTATGTACCTTGTAAGTACCATCAGATGCTCGTTCCACATTTATGTTCGATACTTAACGTTCAAGCCTAGCCCGAAAATGTCACTTAGTCATAAAATCGAAGACAGACGTCATACCTTGTCGTTTCTTTCACAGAGGAATTTGAGTCTCTGTGCCTTCTTGTGCATGAACACACCGTCGAGATGTCCAGAGTCGACTGACCGTATTTCGATGGCCTTGTTGCCCCAGCCCATGATCTGGCCGGTTCCGATGAACGCAACGGACGTTGGCGCTTCGCCCCACTGAAGCATGATGTTCTTCGACACGCGACCGTACGTCGAAACGTAGATGCCTTCGTCTAGTAGATGCAAAAAAGTCATAGCAAATATTACGGTGACACGAAGATAAGAAACGATGGCAAATTAGGGAGTACTTAGAATCGTTGTCGAGTAGCAGACCGATGAGGTCTGCTCCCAACGACAACAAGAAGTTTTTCTAAAATATCGGGTATGCACTTTTCAACTACTGGATATAGAAAATAAACCAGATATAGGATCATGCCCATGGTGGTGCAGTGGTGACACGCTTGTTTACAAAAATTATGCGAAGTTATCTAGGTCCGGGACCGAGAGTATGCAAAACTTTGTTTTGTGCTGAGACCAGCCGTCTACAGCAGCGCCGCTTAACCGCAGTACCGGACTCAAATCTCGAACCATTCAATTAGACTATAGATTTGTACAATTATATATAAAAGAAAAACTGCCCAACTCTTCTCGCCAGTTGTGAAGCTTGCCAGCAATATGTGGTTGTTATTGGGTCGTTATCCAGTTGTTTCCATTCTCGCGCATTAGCAACTCATCAATCGTACTTTTTTTTTTCCTAATAAATGCACATTCATAAAAAACATGGAGTAACAGGTCGTGACACTTACTATCGTAGCACAGGAGAAGTTGCATCCCCTTCGTATTGGGTAAAGTTACTATCGTGTGTGGAACGATCGACGTCTGAATCTGTAAGCAATACGAAATTAATGACACGGACACAATCAAACGTTAGACATCATAACCTGTCGTAACTCCAAGCTATGGTGTTTTGAAGCAAAATCACCATTTGAAAATTCCAGCATTAAACACATCGACATCCTCAGTCATTAACTATAGAATGCAAATTGAATCTTACATCATTAATAAAAGCCTTTCTCCTGATCCTGTAATTACAGGAGATCACTAAACTTCCAGCATACAGATTAGTCTAATATCGGCATAAACGTACACTTCTCTTCGCAGAAATGTTTAAATATAGTAATCCCTCGAGGATAATAACGTACTTCTATGGTACGTATAATCAAAATTGTAAACATGTACCTTCAACCATGCAAGCCATTACCATACTGACAGAAAAGGCATTGAATTTGCTGTTATTAATGACAATGCTCGTAGAAATCGCAACGCGAACGAACTACATAGGCCAAACGCATAACAAATCAACCGTGAGCATGTTTCCTACATACGAAAGCGCATAACATGCCGCTCATATGCACGTCATACACATCACAGCGGATTTGCTGTGACCTTCACCAGGCACCGGAACCGTGGGCTAGCTAGTGAAGAATGGACACGAGAAATAATATGAGCTTCTTCAAATCGCGCTGCTAACAAAAGGTTTCCTCGAACATTTAAAAAAGGCAGAATCTAAAGAAAATGTCAATCGAACGTCTTGATGACAGCGAGAAAAAAAAAGACCTTGAATCTGCTAAAGAAGACTGCACAAAACAGGTTATGTTCGAACGAGATAAATTGAAGTTCGTTTAAGTGGAACACTTCGTTCACCGGTTAACATGAAAACTATTAATAGTGTATTTAATTTAGCACTCGATCATTCGCTAGAGGTGTCTTCGTCTCCTGCAAAGGCTGTAGCTGAGTTGTACACTTCTAAACGGATGCATCTAGCTAAAACTTATGCTATTCTTGCGGTCTTAACACAGACCCCAGATAAACACAAAGCGCGCACACTCTCCAGGAGACTCTGCTCCTGCTGTTCGCATACAGGAGTACAGCGAATAATAGATGAATGGCTTCCAGATGCTAAAGGGTTGTTATCGCTTAGCCAACATGTTGGCAAAACAAAGTGTCTTCACTCACCCCTTCAGCTCCTCCTCGATCCTGCAGCGGTAGTAAATGCAGCGTCAGTGACAGCAGCAGCCGTACCAGAGAGCATCAGTAGTTGGACAAACAATGCACACACGGTCATTCGGACAGACAAATACATACTAGGCAAGGACGACAAGGATTGGCAACAAAAACAATAAACTCGTACAAGGACGCAGTCCAATAGGCTATCGACTTGTTGTTACCAGTGATTGTAACAATCTTGCCACACACAGATAAAAGAAAAACCCACGAAAAATCTGCGATCTTTTTCTGTCTAACTTAACTTGTTGAAAAATGATATAGAAAAAATCATATATAGTGCTGAGCTTATACATGATACACCAGATCAGTGAGTGGGCTAATAAGTATCATTTAATTGTTTGTATAATTAAAACACAGACAGTACCATTGTTAACATTATCCACACGCCAACGTGCGTCTCCTTTAGACCTGAAAATGCCTTTTTGTCTACCCAAACATCACCGCTATGCATCCAACGTCTGCTAAACGACTCACAATGATTTGGCGATTCAAAGTTTCCCATGTTTAAACACACATTATCGACTATTCTATCCACTATGAATACTCTATAATCTAAGCGACTCTAACTATTAAGCAATAACAGCATTAAACTTTGCTTTGCAAGTTAAGAATCTGGAAAAGACGACTGTTAAACTACGTCAGATATACGTGCAATATACTGTGCCCGAATACATGATTTTTATTTACATTTTTCCTGAAGAGACACGAACTCTCCGTAAGCTAGCGTAAGCTTTCACAAATGTCCAATGCTACACCCAGTTTAATTTTAATTATTGCCCGTGCTAACATTAAATACACCGTAAACAACTCGCAGATATAACTAACATGCTAAAATTTACGTAATAAAAAACGTAAAAATCCATAACGTAACTTGGGGGTATCGAATGATGAAAATCAAAAGAGTGCATATTGGCTAAGACAGAAGCGACTCTACAATTTTTAGTCAGAATTGGAATATCACAGCTCATGGAGATTTTTCACAGAAAAGTAGTAGTAGAAATTCATGGTAGAAAAAATTGTATGTAGAAACAGATCTGTTGACGAGCGGTTTGCCTAAGATCAGTAAGGGGAACAGAGAATTATTTCGACAGTTTCGACGGGTAGTATATGCTCATAGCTTTTAAAGTAATGGCTGGAAAACTAGCCTCCCCAGTGGTTCAGTAGCCGTCAATTGGGCGCAAAATAGTCATTCAGTGATGAAGGCCAGCCGACTGATCCGAGGTTAACATGAAGCTCGCATGAAGTCAAATGAAGTATTCATTACTCACGTGACATGGTATGTAGATGTCATAAACGTTGCCTGAATCGAGGTCGATAGCATGGAACCCCTCAGAGGACCCGTAGATCACTTTAAGCCGCACTCCCTCCTCAATTGTCATGTCGACGAGGAGCGGCTTGTGTTGTAATCCCGAAAACGTTTTGAACGCCATAAACTTGTGGTATGGCTTTGGTGCCCAGGCATAGATTTCGACACTTTCCCGTAAAGCGATCACCAGGAACTTAATGCGCTCATATTTCACTGCAAAAGTTAAAACACAGCGCTATAGTGGGGCATAATAGACGTACGTCATTGTTGTGTAGAATATTTTCGATCATTTTCGATCGGAAGAGGAGCACAACAAGTCTCAGATAGAAGAAGTAAACACCTTAAAATAACAATGTGTTTGCTCATGGTAAATATATAACATGTCAAAAAAGTCCACTTACCAATCTTAAAATGCACCGCTCCTTGCAAATCGCCTACGTTAATGAAGCCGTTGCGCTTCTCAAGTTGGTTGCCACTATCGGTGCGCAGAATTTTTGACTTCAGCCACGACAAATAATACACCCGGACGCGACACTTTTTCCCAGAGATAGTCACAAGGATATTTTGTCCTTCGAGCACTTCCATTTGTTGGAAGCGACGCCGTGATATTAGCTGGTACACTTTGCCCTGACCTGAGCGATCTAATAGCATGAGGCCATTCTCCGTGCCAATGAGCAGGTTGACGCCCCATAGCGCCGCACAAAGTATCTCTGAGTTGAACCGCTTCTTGTATTTTCGAATCTCTGGGGTATCTGAGTGTGCCCCCGTGAGTCCCTGGCCCCCTGCTGTAGCATCGGGGCCCAATGTGGGGGTAACGTTTACCTGCACTGACTCCCTACGTTGGGCCGTCGACTGCCGCTCCACAGTTGATGGTGAACCGTTCGTACCTTTAGGGGTTAAGTTGATTAGAAGAAAGAGATATAAATTCCTTGCTACTAACTAAGCCTTATTCGCACAGGATAGCAAGATCACTCAGATGGCTCTAACGTGGCAGTTGTTCTGCTTCCGGTGATATAAGCGCGGATCCACTAATTTACGCATCTTTAATATTACTGAACGAAATTTAATTCTAGTACAAGTCAGGATTATTATTTGTGTATCCACGCCATTGGTAAAGTCAAAGCATATGGAAATGTTGTGCATACAAAATACCTTTCTGGCCATTTACTGCTCCAGCCCTTACCTCGCCCTCCGAGTGTCCCATTAGCGTTAAATCCGAAAGTGAGGAACGAGCGCTGTTTGTGCTGAAGAGGCGTATTTGTCTGGCCGCCCGGTGTTGGTGCCTGGCTTTTAAGTTGCAACGCTTGCCGATATTCCTCTGACGATGAACGATCGCGACGCGGAAGAAGATCCGGTAGGTTGGCACCCGATCGAACGCTCGACTTCGTTATAGCAAACAAAAATCATTGATTTTCGAAAAAAACAAGCTCAGCTTGGCACATCTACTTACTACCAGAATAATGCTATAGCTAGACGACTACAATAGAAAATTGTATGAGGCCAAAATAGTCTGCTCGATTTGAAGTCTCTTGGGGACGCTCTAGGGAGTTTCAACTAGTCTGTTGACTATTGCCGTGTGTAGATACACGTGGTGTACCTTGACCTGGAGCACCTAGAGGTACCTAGTATAACTAAGTGAATAATTGAAGTTTCGCAATCATAGGTCCGTAATGTTGTGTACAGGACCTACCGCAGAGAATGCATCCATGATGGATTAAAGCACAATGAAAACAAACAAAATATTATAAAAGATAACTTAATTGACACTTATTTGACATAAAGGGAAAAAATAAATAAAAAAAACTACCTTCTCATTATTGTTATTGTGGTTTCTCGGTATTAGGGGACTCTTATCCGATGCACTAATAAACTCGCCAATGCCTTCGTGAGCTCGTCGGAAAGGACTTTGTGAACTTTGACTTTTCCGCAGGGGCGGACTCGCCGAGGACGGTGATGAAGGACTCGATGCGCCGGATATACATCCACTGCCGGCTCCTCCACCAGCTAATGCAAGACTTGCTCTCCTGTGGCTTACGTGCTTTAGGTGCTCGCCAAGCAGCGACACCGCGGGATTGTTTTGATCCTGATTGCTGCTGCTGCCGCCACCAGATTTGAGTCCCGCTGACGCTCCATGTGAAGTGGGCGTGTGCGGTGTAAACTGATTGGTTCTGGTTGGGCTAACGATCGAAGCACTGTTTGATTTGAGCAATGGCCGGACGCCAGCGCCTATCGATTGTAGCTGCTGTTGTTGACTAGGAGAGGCACCGGGTCGCACTGCGGCTGACTGTGAATAGCGCATTCACAATGAAGGGAATTGCCACCATCGTTTTCAGAGGTAAACCAATTTGGTTTTATCGCAGTCGACCATTTAATTGGTGTCGATATTTAACATGTTTCAGTTACCACCGCGAAGATTAATCCGGGCACGGTTGTTCCAAGCGATTAAAGTGCACGTTTTTGGGCACGTCATTGAAATAATGACATTAGAAACTTAGATATATGTATATATAGACGAAATACAACGGAAACGATATAAGCAATAGATAACTTAGGAAACTGAAATAAAACATATTCAAGTTTTTGTGTGCTAAAACGTATGCGAGCATGTTATTTCCGTTAGCTTTAAATATTTAAAGCATGCAGTAGGAGTTGCTATGATCCACATATAATAACGCGTCTTTACTGTCGTCACGCGATACCTAGCCATGTCAAAAGTAAATCAACTCCGTTCTCAATTAGTAAAAAGAGTAACATTGATGATTCTGGAAGAGAGATGAGGAAGCCGTTTCAAAGAACCGCGTTTATGGAAGTGTTAGTGGAGATGGACGCAATTGCCGCGTCGGTTCGTGCAAGTAGGTTTATGAAGGGGGCGTACAGGAAATAGGGCATTACACGATATCTAGTGACTGACTTGAAGCTAAATTTCCAAGTGTATGCAGTTTATATATATATATATTGGCAGTATCGAGAGAGAGGGACCCCGAAGAGATAAAGGCAAGACCACACAAAAATAATAAACATACCCGATTGTTAGCGGTCGCTTTGTTGCTGTGCGTATTGACAAGTGTCCCCGTGTGGCCGTCTTCGTCTGGGGTTGGGGGCAGGGGCCTGGTTGGGGCCTCGCTCTCACCCAGCGGCCGCGGGGGATCGCTAGCCAACATTGTGCCATCCTGCGGTATCACCATAATCATCGTCGTCGTCAATAGAGCGACAGCAGGTAGTAGGCGGTATGACCATACCAACGGTTGTCATAGTAAAATTAAATGAGAGGCCCCGAGTGGGCCACGACGAGCCGACGGTAAGTAGAAGCCAAAGACGTTGGCATAGCAAGTTCCGCCGACGTTTACACCGCCGCCAGCGATATTTCGAGGATTATGATGCGATTGTGGGCGCGAAGATAACATGTTGTTGCCGATACGTGTCACCGGTGCAAGAGTACGAGCCCAATTGCGATATGACAGTGGCGATGTATTGGTTCCGGTGTCAAAAATTATTCCGGAGTGACGTATGTTCGATGGGTTAACGACGATTTGGTTGGTAAGAATGGACAGGGGATGTTTGTTGATGGGTGGTTGATCGGGACAGATCCGGGCGTGGAGAACCGGTGGCAATGATGATGATGATGATGATCAGGACCAAAGGGACACACACAAACAAATGGATGGGAAACATTGCGATGGGGACAATTAGTTAATCAAACAATCTGCTATGATCTAAGCTTAATGTACACGATGGAACAGAAACCTCTTCACAGTTCGAACAATATTCATTTGATAGATATATATATATATATATCGGTACAAAATCGAAATGTGAAGAGACCTTTGCCGCACTACGTACAGCTGGCTAATGTAGCAGACTATAACATGGCTCAAGCATTGCGCATATTTCCGTTCAGATGTTATAGTAGCGGAATCAATTACTGTTAGTTCTCGTTTTGGCAAAATGTTCCTCTGTATCAGTATACTGTATATGATATAGTAAGCGATCTTTAATAAAAGTATCTTTCTTCGATTTTTACTGCCAGTACTTCGTTATCGCCAGTCTGATTAGTTGATTTGAGCAACACCCCAGTATCGACTCTGGGGGAATAGTACACCGTTTCCTGCGTTATAGCAGCGTTATTTTTTTTTTGATAGGCGTTTAGTTCAAATGATCATTTTAAACGGTCAGTCTATTTTTCATAGATGTTGAGAGTCAGCTGTTGATCACTCTCTTTCGGTGATCGGTTACTGAAATACTATAATTAATAAGTTAGTGCTACATAAAGATTAGACCCCAGGTAGGCGTATCTTTAATGCGTTATCAGCTTAATAGAACGTAAGCTAAAAACTCTCACGTCGGGTTATCGCGATTGTCATCAAGTGTTTTGGCTTTGGTAAGCCCATCCAGCAACTGAGTTAATGAGCAGCTAATTAAACATCGTATAAATTGATTTAGTGTTGGCCTTTTATAATTGTCGGATAGGTCTTACCACTCGTACGCCTAGAGGCACATTTATCACCTTTTCGACCATTTCCTGAAAAGGCATCTAAAAGTTGAGTTGCAGCTAAAATGGCTTTTCAGTAGTTTATTTGTGTCAGACATCTAAGAGCTGTACATATATACAGAACTCTGCGCATTATATACATTTTGACTTTGAACTTTAGTACGTAATTATCGGTTTGCCCGTAACTTTGTTGCCACTGCCGATAGGTAAAGCAAGCGAACGAGTCATGATCGTACCGTCTGAAGTGTGAAGATCGGCGGGAACGTTTTTTTTCCTGCACGAACGAGAAACATACCTGTTGTATTTCACCATCCGAGTCGTCCGAATCCGAGTCCAGCGCTTGTGTGATATGCGATATTCTTTGTGAAGCGCGATTAGCGTTTGTGTTAGGATTCGATCCAAGAGCACCCGAACCAAGTTCATTGAGCTGCGCTGCCAGTACTTCGAGGTCTTCAGGCCGACGAGAAGAAGGCGCTGTGAGTACGCCAATTGGCGACGTATGAAGAGAATCATGGAATCATCATACGTAACAACAGGTTAGGCAGGCCACGCCAAGACTAACGAGTAGATAGGGGTGATCGACAACCATTAGTTCCCATACATACATACATACATACATCCGAATGAAAATTTACGCCCTCTGTTCCCGAGGATCACAAAATGGCCATCTGACATCGGTAGAACTAGCGTCACATTCTAAACACAACAAATTATTACACAGTGTTCGGCTAAATGATTTCTGTTAACTGAAAGGACGGACAATAAATACAACCCACGTTTGACGGCCTGTCTATTTGCTGGTGGTAAGGGTGGGGCGCCGTTGCTTCCAAGTTGTTGGCCGAACCTGGCTCCTTGAGGACCTCCAGGTCGAGCCTCTTCTTGGCCAGGAATCGGGGGTAGAGGTTTGTTCTGTCGTGAATTGGGATCACCGACTACGATAACGCGGTTGCCAGCCACAGGCGGCGGTGCCATCGCCCGACTACCACCCTGCGGCACCGGGGGTATTCCCGGAGGTTCGCGAAGCGGGGGGCCGCGCTTAGGCTGTTGAGGTTGCGCCGACGTGAGCGTCCCATTATCCATTTGGATCTGCTGGAAGTTTCGCTTGAGCGTGTCACCCCCGCCGGGTTTAGCCGGCGTCTCGGTTGGCGTATCGACAAGATTCGGGTTTGGTCCACGTTGTTCAGGCTCCTCGTCGCTGTAGTCTTCAGGCTCCTGTTCCGTGCGACCATTACCCGCCTGTTCCTGGCGTTTATTCTTCCGCGTACGGTCGATATGGTCTTTGAGTTGGATTCGAACCTGCCGTTCCGTCGGCTGGTCCTTGATAAACGCGTGTTTCAATAGCTGGTCCGTATATGGACGCTGTTGGTAGTCTTTGACGAGAACGGTTTCGATAAATGAGTGGAACTTTTTGTTCCATTTCTTGGACTTTAATCTCGGCGGAGGATTTCTCGGGATGAGGAATAGCGCCCGCATGGGGTGCATCTCACACAAAGGCGGTTGACTTTCGGCCATTTCCAACGCTGTAATTCCAAGCGACCAGAGATCGGAACGGTTGTCATAGGTTGCTTCCGGATTTTCATCACAAGCGATAACCTCCGGAGCCATCCAGTAGGGTGTGCCGATGAACGTATTACGGCGACCGATAGTTCGATCAAGTTGTGCTGATACGCCGAAATCCACTGCAAAATAATCAATGTATTTTGTATACGACAAATATTAAACTATACGTAATTGACTGGTTATCCGCCTGTATGCTCACAGATTGATAATATAGAAGCTTTCACTTCACAACCCAACCCACATATAATTCAAAAGTAATAACTGATTTAGAGCAATAATAAGATTTGACTTAAATGAATAATAATAGCAGTGTCTGTTTGCTAAAATAATCATACCAAACAAATAATCTGTAACCTCGCCTAGCAGGTTTACTTGTACATAGTGGACTTATGGGATCCACCATCAGAAACAACACATCGATGCGTCCGAAGATTATGATTGAATTTGCAGCGTTTTGAATACGTACTATTTATGCCGTTCTGCGGTAAAAGGACATTAGTCAAAGGATCTATTTCCCTCCCGGTATTTACAAGAAATTTTAGATTGTGCTGTCCGGAGCACTTTCGCACCGACCGTACCGAAGAAGGAAAGAATGTCTTGATATAATTAGGAAATAACATTAGGGACGTACATAACTCCTTTCTAAGATCACCTATGCATCGGCCATAGGCTGCTAGCTAGGACACAGTTCGAAACGTACGCTTAGAAACCGTGTGTAAGTCCAGCTGTTGACAGCCTCTCCTCACAAAGACAAACTGCTATCATATAGGCAGGTAATGGTGACATACAAGCGAGTAATTTCCCTACACTAACTAGGCAGTCAATGCTTGTCTATGAAGCGCATATGTCAGCGCACATCAACTGGCTCCAAATCGAGGTTTCCAGAACCCTTCCGTCTACAGACGACATAGGCAGTGTAGAGCGTATATAAGCCAACATCTACGTAGTCGTATTTCTCAAATCAATGCTAAAGGTGACACATCAACAGGAGGTACACAGGAAAAATCCAACGGAGCCACATTTATAGCCTAACCTATAGATTCTAAAAGAACGTACGGGAATGTTCGTTACGAATTTTCTTTCGGCCCTATAGAAGCCACCTTGAGAACCTAGAGGCAGAATCGTGCCTACTGGTATTCACCGCCGCCGATTTGAAATTTTTCAGTAATACGGTTCACGCTAAGGATGCTTCCTTACTAGGTTCGGTGGTTTGTCTAAACCTGAAAAAACATTTTTTATCACTAAGACTATTTGTGTTTGTGAGAAAATGTTTGATTCAAACACATGCAAAAACAGCTCGGCTAGCTTATGCATGTAGAGATTGAAATCGAGACAAAAGCCACGAATGTTCTAGATCCTTGAGCAGTGTTTACATTGTGCTGTATTCGTAGAGCATGAAATGCCAAATCAGGAGAACAGCGTGCAGAATGTTAAGGTGAAGTGTTCTATCTCTGCTATACATGAATCAGCGGATATGAGCCCGCTGTTTGTTACACTTTGCGAACAGAAGAATAGGTCAGTGTAGCTTATAAGGTTTACAGTGCTCGATATTACATTGTATTTTTCGCCCACATATTGAAAGCTGTCCCTTTCGCTTAAATCTTACGGGTGACCCTAAAGGCTGATTATTAACTGCCCGTACAGCCATGAAAACGTGGACATTAGAAATTTTCAAAGAATATATGAAGCTATCAAGTCTTAAGTAAGACCTAGCTGGAATAAATACTAAAGTATGCGTGATTTGTCATTATCTTTAAGCGCGGGTATGACTGTTTCCAAATATATCTACGCAAGCGTATATTTCAACTAGTTAAACAATAGTGGGCCTATTCTACGAAGAAGAAAGACTAACGCGGAGCCGGCGTGTCTTTCACATGAGACGAATCAATCATGCCCAGGTCAAAGTCGAGTAAAGCCTCTGTCTGCGCTATTGCGGTTAGAAACCGTAAAAGATTATTAAGGTTGCGTTCAAGGATAAGTTAGGTGGATAAATGTCCATTTGTCAAGCAAAGCTAATAAAGACAATTGTCCTCGCGCGACCGCAAAAAAATATATAAACCGGACGATTAGACAATGCAAGGTAGTTGAATCGCGTACATGTTAGCCATCAAATAGTTACTCGATTAATCTACACATTTCAGAAGGTCTACAGTAAAAAGTGTAGTCGCGTAAACTTTTTCTACGTAATGACTCAATATGTAAACAAGCCGTAATTTGCGTACCGGTACATAGATGCCAGCGTAACTTACCAAGTTTAACTTCGGCATTGTCAGTAAGAAGCACATTCTGTCCTTTGATATCTCGATGTATGATCTTGTTCTGGTGCAGGTGGGCCAAACCTCGGAGGATCTCCCGACACACGTACGCAATCCACTCCTCCTTAAGTTGCTGGCCCTTTGTTGACTTCACCAGATCCGTAACACTACCGGCACCGCAGTACTCCATCACGAGCTGAGCACAATGGTAAAAACAGCTACATGGTTCAGCATTTCTAAGATTAACCGCATCAACTATTTTTACAGATTAGTGCAAATGCATAACATTACAATAAAGTGACTTTTTTTTTAGGTTTTTTTTCGATCATGTTACTACTGAGTTAGACAGTACTAATAAAACAGAGCTAATATTGTTGTCGGTCTCGAATTTATAAGAATACCGTGTCGATTCTTCATAGCCGAAATATTTTGTGTATAGAGAAAAAAAAAACTGCGATATTTCTAATTATGTATTTACTTCCCAGCCCATAGTAAATAGCCTACTCTAGCGGCCCGAAATCATAAGAACAGAAAAAGCTGGGTAAGCGTATTAAAGATATACACGGCCGTGTTATAAGGGATCACGATAAAACCTACCTTATCTAGATCGAAACGGCAGATTTACCCGGATAAATTAAATCAGTACCTTGGTAAATCTCAAGTCCATCTTGGCTACAAAATAGGCCAAATCTAAAGGAAAAATGCAAGACAATAGTTGGTTCTAAACGAACTGACAAAGCTAGAGTGAGTTTTACATGCTTTTGTTACCTCTATGTACGCTTAATTGTACGCACTTGAACCTACGTACTCCGTTATCAGTAGCTAACACGTATGCTTTTTTCGAAGAGAAACGCCTCTGGATAGATGAAGTGAGCAAATTTAGCCGTCCTTACCTTCGTATCGGGCACGTAGAATCGCTTGGTTTATACTACATTTAGCGAGAAGTAAACTTGTCTTTAAGTTCTGCATCTAGCCCGTCAAATATTGTAACCGCTGACCATTATCTTTACTCTAAGCAAAGCCTTATCTTCAAAGAGGAAAGAAGATTATGCTATTTTTCTATGCTAGAGGACAAATATATGCTCTACCCATAATTTGTCGTCTTTCCCAGGTGGGCTCTTCTGGATGAAGACTCCGTAATAGGTGGCAATGTTACGGTGATGCGAGTACTTCTTGAGAACGTTGATCTCAAGTTTTATTTCTTCTTCTTCGTCCTCGGTAACGTCCATGATTTTAATGGCCGCCAGCTGGCCGGTTTTAGTGTGCCGGCCTTTATACACTTGGCCGTAAGTGCCATTACCCACAACTTCGATCAGTTCAAAAATTCCCGCTGGATCCTGCAATGACCACATTGTAAACAAGGTTTTGGTTAAGCTTATACACACAAAGATTTGTAATGACTTTTTTTCTGCAATTGATTGGTAACCGACAAATTGAGAGCTTAGGATTACTGTGTTGTCGTCGTCTCACAACGGTGAGATAAACACGGTGAGCATTCATTTCTACTGTGCTATTTTGAAATTTAAAAAAAAGTCCTATTATAGATAATAGTTCCATTGTTAATCTGGAATATGAAACAAAAGTAATTAGTAACGGCAAAGTAAGAAAAACGTTGTTTCGAAGCCAATCGGGCAAACATATAATATACTAAATTTGCTTAAGATCTGACTTTCTCATTTGACTCCTTGTTGGGCTTAATGCTTAAGAACACTTAACACTTAAGGGAACTACTCATAGTATTCTCAAAATATCTTCCATCGCGATGTTGCTTTTGCGATGAGAATGCGTCTTCTTATAATAACAATTACATGTATAGATCAAGAGTAATTATGAATATAATGCAGCAACAATTTTCCTATCCTAGGTGTCTAATCCTAGACGACCTAATCGTTAACAAATTTCCACCTCATTAGACCACTGAGACCATTTTTTCTGAAGATTAAGCATCAGTTGTCTACTTTTATTGCAATGGTATAGCACGACCAGAAAAGCTGCCCTACCAACGCGTACTTAAAGCGTCATTTCGATGCAACAGAGAGTGGACGCCAGGCGATTTGACTAGGCGGACAAAAAAACAAATACACATAACGAAGGAAGCGTTATTGACGAAGACCTTGCCAAACAAAAATAAATATGGCGCCCCTTCTTTGACTGAAAGTGCGGCTATTGCCTGGGAATTTTGCTTCGGTCAGTCTTGATTCTATGCCTATCTGAATATAGTCCGATTCGAGAATCACCAGCAGGAAACGGATCGCTTTTGTTTCTATGTTGGTTTTTTCTTTTTCTTTTTTTTTTTTTGTATCTACGTGAACGGCCCAAAAACCGCGCTATCTTACCGTATTACTTAAGCAACAATCGTGAATCTCGGGCTTGATCTGTCCCCATTTCTAGAGTGATGTAGACCTCCTACAGCGCGCATGTATGGCAAAAAAAAAAAACCCATCTTATTTCTATTATACATTTGTCATTAAATGAAATCAACTTGGAGCGATTTGGAAGTTTCACAAAATTGAGTGGCGTGCCCACCGTAACACATATCCGTTCCTGTTTAGAACTGTGAAACATCAATTCGTCTTGGTCATTTCACACAGTTTCTAATAATAAAAACTAAAATAGAATTATACTGTGGGATGTCGAGCTAGCAGTTTTCAACATTAGCCATAGGAAAAGTTAGTTCATAAGCTGGTCAGTGGCTCTTCCAAGCATTTATATAGTAGATGAAACAGGCCGCATTTGATCGTTGTCGCTACGACAATGTTGTATGTGCTGCTATAGTGCTAAGTTCTTCGCTTACCGCGCACGACACCATCAGCCGTGCTCTCTTACTCCACAAACTTTCGAACCCCCATGCGATCTATGAAAATCTCTTTTTATCGTATGATTTCGTGTAGCGCGCCGATCGCTCAGTATTTTTTTGCCCCTGCAATTTTGTGCTGTATTTCGCATCTCTGTCCGACTTACTAACAAGAAATCAAATGTCAATCAACGATCAAGCGGCAGTTACATGCTGAAATTCAGCACATGGCGAAAAAAACAAAAAGGGCCGGCCAGTAGGTCATGACTGCCTGCGGTGGTCATTAGAACTTAATAAGCTTGTCCTATGGGCTGAGTAACCGCATAAAGAAAGAAACCAAGCCTAAATGCTGGGTCCCAATTGACCCACTCGTTGAAAAATCAACGGATCATTCTACGAGAATCTAACGATAACAGTAATTATGGTGTATCTATTCAAGTATGGCCACTTTGCAAGGTGGCTAATTATATGCGTTTATAGGATGCTGGACCTTAGATTGATTCCTCCAGTCAACACCTTTGGAAGAAAGATTGATAGAAGGAAACATCTGTTAACAGTGAATCCCTTCGAGGAAATCAGATTCGAAGAATTTAAATAACTTTTTTAATGATTTTTGTCGTGTGTGACTATTTCTGCTCTGAGGCCAGTGATTCTTCCATCATGGCGATAAAGTGAATATATGTACTTTTAGCTCAGTAATATGAAAATATGCTAAAAGGGCACCGCACCGACTGACAAAATAATGTGTCCCAAGCGGCAGACACGATTCTGTTCATTAAAAGAAGATGAAAGACAAAATTGAAGACTGTAGACTGCACCGTGGAACGCCCGATCTGCCTACGACAGAACGCGATGCCAAATGAAATTGATTTTAGCAGTATTTAGTTAAATTATCGCATTGCCACAGGCGACGGCAAGAGTATTTCATGAGTATTTTTTCTTATGTTAGCAGATAAACGTTGCACAGTTTTACTCACAACTGCTCGTCTTAGCAATGGAATAGAACTGCTTCGGTCATGATGACGTTAGACCATAGTTAAATTGATGAGAACCTAAGATATTGAGATGAAACGTCTACTTCTATGAAATCTGTCCAGCGATTATAATGTACGACCCCATAGAGACTCATACAACCATTCGGTTGCGGCCGTTATCTTTTTGGTCTGCGATTAGAGACATGGTTCCGCTTTAACTCCTGAAAGTTTCAAGTTAGCATACAAACTAACATAGCTCTTCGTAACCGAGTCCCTACCATGCGCTCTGTCAGGCCTTCCTCTACAAAGAACAGCCGGACTTAACGCTGTGTCCGTAGTGGGCCAATCAATGCTTTAGTGTTATCGTATGAAACCAGCAACGCATCTTTCGCGCACAGCGGAAGAGATCCTCTAGATGAAAACAGTTTCCGGTTATTAAAGTATATATTACTTTAATTATGATTCATGCGAACCCTTATCATTCGGACGTGACGTTAAATAATTACGGGAAAACGTTTCACATAGAAATCGACACTCGTTTACGCGAATGATGACCGAGGTTGCGACCGAACAGAAACATTCCGCAGGGTACACGTTACAGCGTCTTAAAGCCTCTAAAACATTGCGAATGATATGAAGTATGTAATAATGATGCCAACAGAAACCAATCGACATAATTGCTTCTATCTCTTTGTATCGATTCCTTGCTCCGTAAACCTACTGAAACGCTCCATACCTATAGGAACGATTGGATTACGTTGGCCCTTAGCACTACGCCTTAGTGTCGAAGTACTGGGTATTACCATCCGGCTGTCGTCGGCTACTTCCACCCGGTGGCGACTACGTTGCATGGCCGGCTAGCTGGTGGTTCGTTAACGGGGCCGCCTGTACCGCTTTTATTTGGACTCTTGTCTTCGCCTTGGCACTTTATCTCTTTCGCACGCTTTCGTTGCTTCGCAGAGATAACCTCGGTCAATAGTGCGCCTGCTCTTGACCTCGTCCTCTCCTTTAACTTTTGCTATACTCGTTCGATATCAGTACACCGGGCTTTAATCATACTTCGACCTCAAGTAGAAAAATAGGAGGAACGCCAAAGAGTGTTTTCCGGGAGAGTGTGAGAGCCGCAAACAATTTATTTACGCGCGAGAAATATCAATCCAGTTGCTGCTGCTGCTGCTGCTGCAGCACCGGCGATGTTGTTTTTGCACTACATGTTTCGACGACACTTTTGACACAACGCCTCTCCAAATGGTTTCTATCCATTTCCAAGCTGTCCCGAGGAACTACAAATGTACAGGTAGACAGTTTGGCTAGATGGATCCAAAAACAAGTTTCAAGAGCTAATTAAGGGGACGATGAAGGTGCATGTAGAGAGTTCACCTGATTATAGGTAACGATCCCGTGCTTCGTTCACGTTTTCGTCCTCAGGGAACAACAGCCGAAAAGGGAGGGACGACGACAGCAGGCTGGCAGGTTGACGGGGCGCAGGTGATTAGTAAACGCTGCCCACCATCAGATTTTCCTGAGCGGAAAATCCGTTATCAACGAGAGAAACGGAACACTGTTGTGGGATGTCGGACGGTGTTATGCATCGTCCGATGCAACCTTCTCCCATTATTACGTATAATATATGGCGGCGATATAAAGTATACATCACTTCAATTTCCCGACAACTACAATATTCAATAGTAATAATAATTATTTATAGTAAGCGACAACTGAGTGCATTTACTAAAGCGTCCACAGTGTTAGTGCCTCGAGTGCCAGGTCATTCTCGAAAAAATTCTACTATCATTACCTTAAAATAGGACAACACTAACTAAGTTTTGAGGAGACAATGCGCACCAAAACCAGTCAATTATCCTTGTCTTCAAGAATACCGATATACATACAAAACTATCCCTGAACGGATCAAGCAGTCTATGGCACCGCGTGCCTTTTCACCGATAATAATAGTAAGCTTCTAGCTGTAGAATAGCCTTTATTTGTTATGCAAACGCTATGTCATTGTCAAAGACGACAGAAGATGGCTTTGTTAATATGTTACCCGATGCAGCCAATCTTGTAGAAATCGTGCAGTACGTTTGATTTGAGCAGATAGAGAAAAACTGTTAAGTCAACATAACACGAAGCTCAGCCTTACGACCCGCAGAAGAGCCGGACAATGCCAATATATTTTTCCGCTATCTGTACAAACTCCAGCTCTGTTTCAATGATGCTTGTCATCTCTATTATGACGACTTCACCGGTATCTGTTGCAATCGAACCCAGCCACATTCTCAATACTCCGTCAATTTAAAAAGTCTTTTCACCTCCACTCTACGGCCTTCTCAAAGATTCCTGAGTTGACTCTCGTAACGGTCAGGCAACGCATTTTTCATTCGCTTGCTGATCTGTACATCCGTTCATATCGGCAATTTCCGCAAAGGTATCTTCAAGGGTTGATTAAAAAAAATCCACTTTCCATTTACTTTGCTCGAATCTGGCTCCTCTGGCTTTCTTTGCCTCATAGTCGCTTCCCGGCCTCTTCGGCCCTTTTGGCGTCTCTTTTGCTTCTGCGCTTGCTGTT